CCTGAAATCCATAAACCCACTACTTGCGAAAGCACCGGTACAACCTTTATGGGTGGTCATTCCATTTCCTTTTTACGTAAATCATTTTCACCCAATGATGAATCTGAAATGGAAAATTTATGTCCCATCCAATCTTCGGTAAAATTACATGAACATGTAGCCCTTATAAACCGAACCTTCTACTTGCTCAACCAGTCCCGTCGTTGATAGTGAAATGGTCAAGTGTACACTGATGTTGCAATGTCAAAATTCAGTGACTGTAAAATTTGACGGACGCAGCGAATATGGAGCTAAAGAGAGACGCCTACGAAGTAGTTGTGGGATTAAATGGTGTAGACCTAATACATAAAATTAAAGGACTTCATGAAACTTCCAAAGTGTGCCCATGACTGTAGCCCTGGAGACGGTCCGGTGAATAGGCTCGTAATTGGCGTCAAATCTGCTTCATATGAGTACAAATTCTAACTTCGATCCACTCCTTCCAGATACTGGTATCCTGCGCTGTAACAGAAATTATGGCTCTATCTCCATCTGAACTTGGGGCCATCCCACACACAACCACAGTAGCACTCATCAACTAGGGGCCCTGCTTTTGGGGACCGATTACCAGCTCCCTTCCTTGCGTTTGCAAACCGACCCTTCTCCGTTCTTCAATATCCGGCTGTAGCTAAAAAGCGCTTACGCATCTCAGAAACACCTACCAAGTTGAAACCCCCTCGCTATTTTAAACCAAATTAAGAATCTTTCCTTTTCAGTTATATGAATTAAAGCCTCGCCCAACGCAATTCATGGTGACGCATCGACATTTGTTTCAATCATCTCTAAACTAACTAAATACATGGGCGAGTAAGGCGGCCGCCCCTGATGCAATGTAACCGGTACCTGCAAGGTAAACTCTGTCTGATCCATCCAACCATCCCAGGAACAAATATTTTTAACACACATCTAGCTCACCTACATCTCAACAATGACTACCCTCCCGCCTTTCCTCTCTCAGTGGTCAAAAACCCCATTCCTCTCCATTATCCATCTCCTATATGTCAATCCCTGGTGTCCAACCTAATCAGGCGTTTCGGCTGTTATCCAGTTCTAAACGTCCGCGAATCCTTCATGTACCATACCCTCCGATTCCACGCCATCTGACCCCAACGATGCGGAAGATCATACGATCGGCACCCCTCCCCCGAACTGCACACACTCCATCCAAGGATTGCTGCCCAATGCTGAGGCTCCTACTTCACATTCTGCCGTGGGTTAAGACCTACTTGCCTCTCTACTCACTGTTCTACCCATGGTGCTAAACGAGCCTTGATCATCTCCGAATACGCGTCCAGCTAATCCTACTTCATATACTACCACTGCTACCACC